GGGCGCACCTCCACAGACTTCTCGGCCACAGTGTGCCCCGCAGGGTTCTCAGGCTATGATCACAGCACCAGCTGCCACCCCACCTACACAACCAGCTAAAGGTGGAGGTCGGGGAGGTAGAGGTCATCCTAGAGGGGGAGGCTAGGCCAGATACTATGCCCTTCCTGCCCGTACTGATGTTGTCACATCCGATTCTGTCATCATATGTACTATCCTGGTCTGCCACAGAAATGTATCGGTTCTATTCGATCCAGGCTCCACTTATTCTTATGTGTCCTCTTATTTTGCACCGTATTTGGCCGTATCTCGGGATTCCTTGAGTTCTCATATTTATGTTTCTACTCTTGTTGGAGATTCTCTTGTTGTGGACTGCGTTTATCGGTCGTGTTTGATTGCTCTTAGTGTTTTTGAGACCAGAGCCGATTTGTTATTGCTCAGCGTGGTAGACTTTGATGTTATTCTGGTCATGGACTGGTTGTCACCCCATTATGCTATTCTTGATTGTCATGCGAAAATCGTGACGCTGGCTATGCCAGGTATACCGCGAGTAGAGTGGATGGTTACCTTAGATCATACTTCCATTAGAGTTATTTCATTCCTTAAGGCTCAATGTATGGTTGAGAAGGGTTGTGACGTGTATCTAGCTTATGTGAGAGATGTCAGTATTTATACCCCTACAGTTGATTCAGTCCCAGTAGTACGGGATTTCTCTGATGTGTTTCCAGCTGACCTTCCGGGCATGCCGCGCGATAGAGATATTGATTTTGGAATTGATACGTTGCTGGGCACTCATCCCATTTCTATTCCTCCGTACCGTATGGCTCCTCCTGAGTTGAAGGAGTTGAAGGAGCAATTACAGGAATTGCTTAATAAGGGTTTCATTCGGCCTAGTGTATCACCTTGGGGTGCTTCTGTCTGGTTTGTGAAGAGGAAGGATGGTTCTATGCGTATGTGTATTGATTATCCCTATTTTAACAAGGTTATAGTGAAGAAACGTTATCATTTGCCTCGTATTGATGACCTGTTTGATCAGTTACAGGGTGCTCGTGTGTTTTCTAAGATTGACTTGCATTCAGGCTATCATCAGTTGAAGATTTGGGAGCCGGATATCCTGAAAGACTGCCTTCAGGACTTGGTATGGTCATTACGAGTTCCTTGTTATGTCATTTGGGCTCACCAATGCCCCAGCAACCTTCATGCATTTGATGCACAGTGTATTCCAGACATATCTTGATTCATTCGTCATTGTCTTTATTAACGACATTCTGGTATATTCCCGGAGTCGGGAAGATCATGAGCAGCACCTGAGGACAGTGCTTCAGACTTTGAGGGAAAAGAAGTTATATGCCAAGTTCTCGAAATGTGAGTTTTGGTTGGATTCTGTGGCATTCTTGGGTCACGTGGTATCTAGTAAGGAAATAAAGGTGGATCCAAAGAAAGTGGAAACAGTGCAGAGTTGGCCCATACCATCCTCAACAACAGAGATCCATAGTTTTCTTGGCTTGGCGAGTTATTACCATCGATTTGTTTAGGGATTTTCATCTATTGCAGCACCTATGACCAAGCTGACCCAGAAGGGTGGTCCGTTCCAGTGGACGGAAGAGTGTGAGGAGAGCTTCCAGAAGCTCAAGACATCTTTGACTACAGCCCTAGTTTTGATATACGGTTCGGGGTCTTATACTGTCTATTGTGATGCCTCGAGGATTGGCCTTGGAGCGGTATTGATGCAGGACGATAGGGTGATTACCAACGCGTCCGGTCAATTGAAGGTTCATGAGAAGAATTTTCATATCCACGATCTTGAGTTAGCTGCTATTGTTCACGCCTTGAAGATCTGGCGTCATTATTTGTACGATGTGCCTTGTTAGATTTATACTGATCACCGGAGTTTGCAGCATTTGTTCAAGCAAAAAGACCATAATTTGCACTAGAGGAGGTGGTTAGAGCTGCTGAAGGACTATGATATCACTATTTTGTATCACCCGGGCAACGCCAATGTAGTGGTCGATGCCTTGAGTCGTCGGGCGGAGAGTTTGGGGAGTTTGGCTTATTTACTAGCAGCGGAGAGGCCCATAGCGATGGATGTTCAGGCCTTAGCCCGCCAGTTTGTGAGATTGGATCTTTCGGAGCCTAGTCGAGTCCTTGCTTGTGTGGTTTCTCGGTCTTCCTTGTTTGATCGTACCCGGGAGCGCCAGTTTGATGACCCTCATTTGCTTGTCCTCAAGGACAAGGTTCTGCAAGGAGATGCCAGAGACGTGACTATTGGTAATGACGGGGTATTGAGGATGCAGGGTCGGGTTTGTGTACCCAATGTTGATGGGCTTCGGGAGTTGATTCAAGAGGAGGCCCATAGTTTGCAGTATTCCATTCATCCGGGTGCCGCGAAGATGTATCAGGATTTGAGACAGCACTATTTGTGGAGGCGGATGAAGAAAGATATAGTTGGGTTTGTAGCTCGGCGACTCAATTGTCAGCAAGTAAAGTATGAGCACTAGAGACCGGGTGGATTGCTTCAGCAGATAGTTTGGCTTATTTACCAGCAGCGGAGAGGCCCATAGAGATGGATGTTCAGTTCTTAGCCCGCCAGTTTGTGAGATTGGATCTTTCGGAGCCCAGTTGGGTCCTTGCTTGTGTGTTTTCTCGGTCTTCCTTGTTTGATCGTATCTGGGAGCGCCAGTTTGATGACCCTCATTTGCTTGTCCTCAAGGACAAGGTTCTGAGAGGAGATTCCAGAGATGTGATTATTGGTGATGACGGGGTATTGAGGATGCATGGTTGGGTTTGTGTACCCAATGTTGATGGGATTCGGGAGTTGATTCTAGAGGAGGCCCATAGTTCGCGGTATTCCATTCATCCGGGTGCCGCGAAGATGTATCAGGATTTGAGGCAGCACTATTGGTGGAGGCGGATGAAGAAAGGTATAGTTGGGTTTTGCACGACCCCGGTTCGCCCTCCGTGAACCATCGTGAGGGCACCTAGTCTCTATGACTAGGTAAGCCTAACAATGCGGAATATAAACAATAATTGCGAAAGAGATAATTAAAAACCAAAATAGTAAAATGAAACAGTCTTTAAGGTACCGCTCGGCACATACAATAACAACTCTCGAAGTTAATAACAATTCCCAAAATCCGGAATCTCACGAATCACAAGCTATGAGATACATAAGAAGCTCTAACTCCGGAAATGTCTAAACAAAGGAAAATTTTTGAAGGGCTATACTTATTACAGAAAGATAGAAAGGGACTCCTCGGTCTGCGGACGCGGTAGATATACCTCGAAGTCTCTACAGACGCACCTCGCCTCAAGGATGATAAGACAGAATGGAAGTACCTGGATCTCCACAACAAAAATGTGCAGAAAAGTAGCATGAGCACACCACAGCGGTGCCCAGTAAGTTCAAGACTAACCTCGGTGGGGTAGTGAAGAGGAATAGTCAAGACACCTACCGATCCATAAACTGTACAAATATAGGAACAACGGAACATGATGTATATACATAAAAGCTACACGAGATGGTTAATAATACTACAATCACAATAAGGAAAGAAAAACAACAAGTAACTGTCACACCTCCTTTTTACACACCCGAAGGTAGTACAAGGAAGTTTTTCCAATTTAAGTGACATTATTCGAAATGAGATTATTTATTTATCAGAGTCGCCACTTGGGATAGTTTATTTGGTGTCCCAAGTCACCGGTTTGTTTTGAATCCCAAATCGAGGAAAATTCGACTTTCCTTTTGAAGTCTGCGAACCAGAAATTCTGAATAAGAAATTCTGTTAACCCGAGGGAAGGTGTTAGGCACCCCCGGATTCCTTGGTTCTAGCACGGTCGCTTAAACTATTATAATTGGCCTATTATCTGATTTTAATACATGTTTTAGCCTACGATATATTTTAGACTTATTTAACCGCTTCTATTAATTTTTTAGGTGAATTGCAACGTCATTTAAAATATGTCTTGAACCACGTCACATAAATGCACCCACGGCTCTTGACATATTTTATCTAACATTGTTGGGATTTGGATTTGGGTCACATAAATGCACACCCGAGTTTAGGAAGGTAAATTATTAAACAAGCGCGCCTAAAGCAACTACGCATTCTTAAGTTTGCGAGGGCCATGGAAAATTCAACTAATGGCACCTCGATTTCTAAAAAAGTTAAAATTGATTAAGTGAGGGCCATGAGTTTTGGAATTTTATTTGGCATGGCACGCCTCAAATTATTCCAAAAGGCTTCACTCAACTAAAACAAACTACGAATGTTCATAGTTAATTATTTCCTAAACTAATTTGAGATTGTTGTAAGGCCAAGGTTATGAAAATTATTGTAGAAAAAGGATATAGATTCTTTATAGAAAGATGAACTAGTTTATGAATTTTATTAACTCTTGGCCCACTAGACTTGAATTAACTACATTCAAATGGCCCAAAAGGAATCCTCGTGCTTCAACCACACTACACGGTCCAATTGCTAATTTAACACAGAAGGCTTCAAATGATGCTCGAGTAATCCATCTACTAATTGAGTGCATAAAGGACTTTAATGATCATGCCGAACAAAATAAGGAAAGAAACGCTCATATAAGGCTAAGATGAGAATTTAAAGCTAAATAAAAGGCTTATATAATTGAACAACTGACGAAAGCAAAAGTTCAAACACAAACTTCAACACTGCCCAAAAAACATTGTATTCCAGTCATATAGCACCTAAGCAAATTATGTGCATGAGACAACTTCATCAAATGTTTACATGTTAAAGAAAAGGAAGGAAACATTTCTGTGCAGAACCTTTCGCCGGTATCAACATACTTCCAATTCAAACACAAAGCGTTATGACAGTATCTAGATCCGACTTTATACTCAAATAGATATGACATGCAATCAATAACAGGGATCACTAGTTCAATAGAGAACAACTTGTAATTTCCGAAATCCATTCTTCATAACACGAGTGATCCAAATCAGTTTACAAAGTCAAAATCAAGAAGAGTACCTTGCTGCAATAGAATAAAGAAAAGTGGTGGTCGGAAATAAATCTAGAGCCCAGCAAAGAAGTGAATCGGCAGCGCTTGGCAGTAATTTAAGAGCTCAATCCCTCTCGGTAGCCCAGAGATTAACCCACAAATTAATAGAAAACCATAAGCTCTAAAACGGCCAGAAATTTGAGATTAAACACTTCACTTCCAATCAACATTCAAACACGGTTTGTTTTCCTTTCTTCAATGAGAATTTTTCCAAGTCTTTGCTATTTCAGTTTTCTTCCCTTCTTTTTATATTGCTGAGGATTTTTCTTTTCCACTTTTTAAGCCATTTAGGCGTGTGGGTGATTACAGAGCTGGGGAAACAGCTATGAAGGAAGGAGAAGGTTTTATTTTTTGGCCTGAGATTTGGAGAAATAGATGAAGCAAGAAGAAAAAGATCAGGTGCGGTGCGCCGCTGCTCAATTTTTCAGAGAAGGGGATCTCCGGATATTTTCTAGGTCTTCCAAAGTATAAGTGTATTTAGGGATTAGGTACTATTATATAGTGTAGCGATTAGGTTAGGGGTATGGGTCTTGGAATTATGGGCTTGAGAATTATGGGCTAGGTATAAAATTTTGGGTTTAATTTGGCTACAAAAATTAGCTCAATATCCAATCAAACCTTTTCTTCAAATTCCTTTTCTTATTTTTTTCCTTTTTCTTTTTAATTAAAAATCTTAAAATTAAAATCCTAGGTTATCTAAAAATGTGAAATTAAAATAATTAACTAATTATAAAAATTATAAAAGCTACTTAATCCTAAATTAAAAGAGAAAAAATCAACAAAAGGAAAAAGTGTAAAGATGGAGCAATTTTTTATGATTTTCAATTTTTTTTATAAAACAAGTAACTACCGATTGATCCTAAAAATGTAAAAATAAAGCCTAAATGTCATGCGTGATATTTTTGGTATTTTTCATGATTTAAATAAAACATAAACATGCGCAAAAATGCAAACAATTAAAAATTCTACAAAAATTCCTAAAATGACAAATAATTAACAAAAAATCTATTTTCTTGAGATTTTATAGGAGTATTTCATATAAGGCAAAAATCACGTGCTTAAAGTAACAGCGGAAATACAAAAATAATGACATAGAAGAACGAATGAAAACACAAACCCGAATCCTAAATTCATAATACAGTAAATGTAAGCAATAACTCATGTCCTACGACAGTGTCCACATCAGGTCTTATCCAACAATTTCCATGAAGTACCAAATCTCGAACAATTTACAGCTCACGAGCCCCAGTATCTGAAATCTAACACTTGGCATCCTGTGTCCCCATCAACCTCATGGTCATGTTGACAACTCACTTGCTAACTAGAGCCACTCTCACATATATAACAAGTGAACGAGGGTATACATCTATACTCAGCAAAATCAGGAGGACTTCACATCTAATAAGAGTGTTCAACTACGTGTATGCTTGTGCAAGTGCTTTAACATAGTTCCTACCAGCTAATAAGCGTAAGGAAAAGAACGGACAGCACGTAAGATGTTTCCTCACAATTTCCACGAGATAAAGCTCATACAGGTAAGCGTACCACAACACAATATTAAACAACAAGAATGCCCCCAGGCCATCACAAATCATCACAATCAATCCCTGACATAGCCCACCTTATCTCGCCACGTGTGCAAATAATAACATACTAAGTGCCCGCTTTGTTCCACCACACGTGCATCATAATGTTCCCACCTTGTCTCGCCACATGCGCAACCCACATATCAGCATATATATATATATATATACATATCCCGCCTTATCACGCCATCAATAGTAGCAATAGCACAGCAGAAACCTCGTGCAACCCCATAATAACAGCCGCATGGAAGAAACCTCGTGCATCACAATATCAGCAACCGTACGGCAGAAACGTCGTGCATCACAATTTTAACAACCGCACGGCAGAGACTCGTGCATCACAATATCAACAACCGCATGGAAGAATCCTCGTGCACCACCACAGCAAGTACAACAACAACAATGACAACATACACAAGAACACGACGAGTAATTCAACTCAGGAACTTTCGATCACAAGGAGACGGTAAAACTAGCTCACAAGGAATAACCACAATAGAGAAATACTAAGCGTGATAAGAACAGCTCAACAAGAGAGAAAATAATATGAAGCAACGATCCCACAATAGCTAATTTAACAACAAGGGAGCTAACACGAATCAAATATTTCCAAATAAGGAAATGTCAACTAATTATAGATTATCTAAACTTCTTTAAGGTTGGGCAATTTACGAAGCTTATACAATGATTTCAATTAAGGATGAGCAGTTATGAAAGATAGCAAGACATTAGAAGAGGTAAAAACATTCAGTTAAGCAAAATAAGAGTCAATTAGGTATTAAGAATGAATTATGAGCAAATAAATTCCAATAAGAGCATGTAGAGTTGAAACTGGTAACTGGAAACTCAAGCATATCAATTACACATTCATACACAGTGAATATAATGATCTAAGAACCCTAAAAGGCCAATTTTTTTCCACAAATAAGTTCGAGCACGCACTCGTCACCTCGCGTACACGAACTACAACAAACATAGCAGACTCAAATCCTAAGGTGAAATCCCCAACACAAGGTTAGGCAAGATACTTACCTCGAACCGGCTCAAAATCAACTAGAAACCACGTTCTTGCCACGAGTACTCGACTCCAAATGGCCCAGATCTAATCAATTCAATTTCATAATATAAATAACACTTCAAGTAACTGATTCTACAATTAAATTCTAAGCTAATACACGGAATTATGTAAAATGACCAAAACGCCCCTCGGGCCCACGTCTCGGAATCGGGTGAAATTTATATTTTCAGAACCCTCACACTCACATGAGTCTAGTCGTATAATAATCTCACAAATCGGATGTCAAAAACCCAATCAAAACTCAATAATTCGGCCCATGAAGTTTATCCTATTTTTCCCAAATTTTTCCACCAAATTCGAAATTTAAAGGCTAGATTTAGTTAGGAATCACGAAAATTGATCTAAGTTGGGTATAGATCACTTACCCAAGTAACCAGGTGCAAAATTCTTCAAAAACCGTCCCTCCCGAGCTCCCAAATTCGAAAATGTGAAAATAGGCTTAAACCCTCGAATTGGGATTTTAAGAACTCTGCCCCAGGTATTTTGTACATCGCGATCGTGAAAGGGGGACTGCGATCGCGAAGAGTAAAATTTAATGGCTCCTGAATTGGGCTACACGAATGCGAGATAGTTCACACGATAGCGAAGAAGGAAAAGGGCGGCTTACGCGTTCGCGGGCAAGACCATGCGAACGCGAAGGGAAAAAGGACCACTGAGCCACCGGCTTACGTTTCTACTATGCAAATGCGAAGCTGGGAATGCGAAAGTGAAGAAGGAGGGAATAGAGTTCCGCGATCGCGAAGAATAAATTGATCACCCTCCGGAATTACTCTACGCAAACGCGGAGGAAGGGTCGCGAACGCGATGAAGGAAACCAGATACCAGATTTTCTGCAATTCAACAAGTTCCAAAAATGATCCATTGAGCAACCGAAACACACGCGAGGCCCCCGGGACCTCAAACAAACCTGCCAACCAATCCTAGGACATCATTCAAACTTGTTCCAACCTTCGGAACGCCCAAAACAACATCAAAACACCTATTTTTCATCGGATTCAAGCTTAAGAATTCCAAAACTCAAAAAATACACTTTTGATCAAAAAGTCCATCAAACCTCGTCCGAATGACCTGAAATTTTGCACACACGTCACATTAAACACTACGGAGCTACTCCAACTTCCGAAATCGCATTCCGACCCCGATATCACAAAAGTCAACTATGGGTCAAACTTCTCTATTTTTTCAAACTTCAACTTCTCCAACTTTCGCCGAAATGCCTCAATTTACCCTACGGACCTCCAAATCCGAATACGGACGCGCGCCTAAGTCCAAAATCACCATACGAATCTGTTGGAATCATTTAAAATTCATTCTGGGGCTGTTTACTCAAAAGTCCAACTCCGTCAAATTTTCACCGTTCAAAGTTCCAAACGAGATTCCTTCTTTTCAAATGCCTTGTACGTGAGGTGACGAGTGTGTACTTGTGCTAATTGTTGAAAATATGTTTTCATTAAGTAACTATAATGGTGATTCCTTTTCCTGTTTATACTGCTTGTAATTTAAGCCTGTTGTTAGCTTAAAGAAGCATGTTTAATTGACTTAATCTTTACTTGCTCAACCTACCTTATGGATTATGTGCAGTGTGCTAGGTTAGAAATACTTGTTTTACCTTGTTATGAAATAGGAATTGAGTTGAGTATTCTTTGTGATGCTGCTGCGTGTTTACTTTGGGACTACGGGACAGTATCTCGGGAGATCCCCCCTGCCTATTTACTTTGAGACTACGGATTGGTATTCCGGGAGCTCCCCCTGCGCTTTTATATTTGAACTACGGGACTGCACCCGGTAGATTCCCCCAGTACTGGGTATTTACATTTGGGACTACAGATCGGGATTCCGGTAGATCCCCGCGCGCTGTGAGTTGGATTACGGAACGGTATCCCGGGAGATCCACTGGATATTTATATTTGGGACTACAGGACGGTATCCTGGGATATTCCTGGTTGTTATCTCTGTGTTGAGTTGTACTCTTTTCTGTGAAGTCTTCTATTTATGTTATAGTTGCTGTTATTCTTATTATCCTGTGTTATTTCATACTGTTAGTATTTAATTATATTGTCGTATTCTATACTGTTTTACCCCATTTTCAGCTATAATCAGTAGGACCTTGACCTTCCTCGTCACTACTCAACCGAGGTTAGGCTTGGCACTTACTAGGTACTGCTGTGGTGTACTCATGCCCTTTTTGCGCATGTTTTTCATGTGCAGATCCAGGTACTTCGACTCAACCCTACTATCCTTGAGGCGAGGTGATCCTCCAGAGACTTCAAGGTATATCTGCCGCATCCGCAGACCGAGGAGTCCCTTTCCATTCTTTCTTATTGTATTAGCCCTTCTGTATTTACTTTTGTTTAGAAACTCTAGAGTTAGAACAGCGTAGTTATTCCACAGCTTGTGATTTCATGAGATTTTAGGTTTTAGGAAATGTAGTTTCAGTTTGAGAGTTGTATTGTATATGCCGAGCAGCATCTTTAAACCTTCATGTTTTATTCTGCAAGTTTTTATTTATTTTATTCTGTTGTTTCTTTTTCCGTAATTTGTTATGCTTACCTAGTCGTAGAGACTAGGTGCCGTCACGATAGTTCACGGAGGGCGAACTGGGGTCGTGACATGGGTACATATTTTTATGTACTCACACTACACTTCGGTACTTGACGTACAAGATTTGAGGCAGGTGTATCTAGCCACCAGTCCGGCGCGTATATTGATTTCCCAGCTTGAGACTTCCCGGTGAGATGTTCTTTTGAGCCGTCCTGCAGCACCTGGAGCCTCTCTTATGCTTTATGTTATGTCTATTCCCTTCTAGACAGTAGGCTAGCGTTTGTTTTGTATATTCTACTACATTTCCCA